TATGTGTGCATGAATTGTTCTTTTAGGACATGCCGATGCATAGGAAGAGAGTTCGACTTCGTCATTACATGATATATGTTACCTTGTGCTCACTACTAAATTACAAATCATTGCTAATTAAAATTGGCTTTGATATACCATGGGATCCGTGTGGACTCACTACTTGAGCACTATATGCCTAGCTTAATGGCTTTAAAGAAAGCGCTGCCAGGGAGACAACCCGGAAATTTTAGAGAGTCATTTATTTCTGTTGAGTACTTTTATATAGTTTAAAAACAACAAAAATAAAGAGGGGAACCCAAAACTTTTTCAAAAAGGAAAGTGAAAGTGAGAAAGACAAGCACTGTTGAAGTGGGAGAGCTCCTTGAACTTTGTTCATGCTCACGGCAACTTTGTGAATCTTGACTACAGAAACTTTTCAACAAAAATAATTATCCCCTTGTACAATTCCATTGTATTATAAAAATAATGTGCCAAGGTTTGCCTTTAGGATGTTTACGATGCTTGTTGGTTTGTGCGGTGCAGGACAGAAAATTTGGCTGTAGTGCACGAATTTTAGTTTTTTACTGGAACATCAAATGGTTATGATTCTTTTTGCACTGTCTTTCTGTATAAATTTTTTAGTTTTCCTAAGTTTTTCAGAATTTTTCAAGTATCAGAAGTATGGTGAATATTCATATTGCTACAGACTATTCTGTTTTAGACAGATTCTGTTTTTGATGCATAGTTTGCTTGTTTTGATGAAACTATCAATTTATATCAGTGGATTAAGCCATGAAAAAGTTATATTAAAGTAGACACAGTGCAAAAACAAAATATGAATTGGTTTTCAACAGTACTTAGAGTAGTGATTTTCTTTATTATACTAACGGATCTTACCGAGTTTTCTGTTGAAGTTTTGTGTGGATGAAGTGTTCGATGATTGAGAAGGTTTCGATGTGAGAAGAAGGAAGAGAGGCAAGAGCTCAATCTTGGGGATGCCCGAGGCACCCCAAGTAAATATTCAAGGAGACTCAAGCGTCTAAGCTTGGGGATGCTGGGGAGGCATCCCCTCTTTCTTCAACAAGTATCGGTATGTTTTCAGATTCGTTTCGTTCATGCGATATGTGCAACCTTGGAGCGTCTTTGCTTTAGTTTTCATGTTTTTTTTGCACCATGCTGGTATGAGATAGTCCTTGGTTGATTTATAGAATGCTCTTTGCACTTCACTTATATTCTTTGAGTATGGCTTTATAGAATGCTTCATGTGCTTCACTTATATCATTTGAAGTTTGGATTGCCTGTTTCTCTTCACTTAGACAACCGCCATTTGTAGAATGCCCTTTTGCTTCACTTATATTTGTTAGAGCATGGGCATATCTTTTGTAGAAGGAATTAAACTCTCTTTCTTCACTTATATCTATTTAGAGAGATGACAGGAACTGGTCATTCACATGGTTAGTCATAAAATCCTACATAAACTTGTAGATCGCTGAATATGATATGTTTGATTCCTTGCAATAGTTTTGCGATATAAAGGTGGTGATATTAGAGTCGTGCTAGTTGAGTAATTGTGAAATTGAGAAATACTTGTGTTGACATTTGCAAGTCCCGTAGCATGCACGTATGGTGAACTTTTATGTAACGAAGTCGGAGCATGAGGTGTTTATTGATTGTCTTCCTTATGAGTGGCTGTCGGGGACGAGCGATGGTCTTTTCCTACCAATCTATTCCCCTAGCAGCATGCATGTAGTACTTTGTTTCGATGACTAATATATTTTTGCAATAAGTATGTGAGTTCTTTATGACTAATGTTGAGTCCATGGATTATACGCACTCTCACCCTTCCATCATTGCTAGCCTCTTCGGTACCGGGCATTTCCCTTTCTCACCTCGAGAGTTGGTGCAAACTTCGCCGGTGCATCCAAACCCCGTGATACGATACGCTCTGTCACACATAAGCCTCATTATATCTTCCTCAAAACAGCCACCATACCTACCTATTATGGCATTTCCATAGCCATTCCGAGATATATTGCGATGCAACTTCCATCATCATCATATACATGACTTGAGCATTTATTGTCATATTGCTTTGCATGATCGTAAGATAGCTAGCATGATGTTTTCATGGCTTGTCCATTTTTTGATGTCATTGCTACGCTAGATCATTGCACATCCCGGTACACCGCCGGAGGCATTCATATAGAGTCATATCTTTGTTCTAGATATCGAGTTGTAATATGGAGTTGTAAGTAAATAAAAGTGTGATGATCATCATTATTAGAGCATTGCCCCAGTGAGGAGAGGATGATGGAGACTATGATTCCCTCATAAGTCGGGATGAGACTCCGAACTTTACAAAAAAAATAAAAGAGGCCAAAGAAGCCCAAATAAAAAAAAGAGGCCAAAGAAGCCCACCAAAAAATAAAAAAATAAAAATAAAAAAAATAAAAAATGAGAGAAAAAGAGAGAAGGGGCAATGTTACTATCCTTTTACCACACTTGTGCTTCAAAGTAGCACCATGTTCTTCATATAGAGAGTCTCTTGAGTTATCACTTTCATATACTAGTGGGGATTTTCATTATAGAACTTGGCTTGTATATTCTAAAGATGGGCTTCCTCAAATGCCCTAGGTCTTCATGAGCAAGCAAGTTGGATGCACACCCACTTAGTTTCAGTTTGAGCTTTCATATACTTACAGCTCTAGTGCATCCATTGCATGGCAATCCCTACTCCTCACATTGATATCTATTAATGGGCATCTCCATAGCCCGTTGATACGCTTAGTTGATGTGAGACTTTCTCCTTTTTTGTCTTCTCCACATAACCCCCACCATCATATTCTATTGCACCTATAGTGCTATGTCCATGGCTCACGCTCATGTATTGCATGAAAGTTGAAAAGGTTTAAGAAACGTCAAAGTATGAAACAATTGCTTGGCTTGTCATCGGGGTTGTGCATGATGTGAATGCTTTGTGTGGTGAAGATGGAGCATAGCCAGACTATATGATTTTGTAGGGATGAACTTTCTTTGGCTATCTTATTTCAATAAGACATAATTGCTTGGTTGGTATGCTTGAAATATTATTGTCTTTATGTCAAAGGATAGATTATTGCTTTGAATCACTCGTGTCTTAATATTCATGCCATGATTAGACATATGATCAAGATTATGCTAGGTAGCATTCCACATCAAAAATTATCTTTTTTATTATTTACCTCCTCGAGGACGAGCAGGAATTAAGCTTGGGGATGCTGATACGTATCCGTCGTATCTATAATTTTTGACTGTTCCATGCCAATATTATTCAACTTTCATATACTTTTTGGCAACTTTTTATATTATTTTTGGGACTAACATATTGATCCAGTGCCCAGTGTCAGTTCCTGTCTGTTGCATGTTTTTGGTTTCGCAGAATATCCATACCAAACGGAGTCCAAACGGGATAAAAACGGACGGAGCTTATTTTTGGAAAATATGGAAAATTTGGAAGGAAAATCAACGCCAACCAGTGCCCGAGGTGGTCACGAGGCAGGCCCCCCCCTTAGGGCGCGCCCCTACCCTCGTGAGCCCATCATAAGGCGGCTGACACTCTTCTTTTGCCGCAAGAAAGCTAATATTCGGAAAAAATCACGGCGAAGGTTTCAGGCCAATCGGAGTTATGGATCTCCATATATATACGAAACGGTGAAACAGAGCCAGAACAGAACGCAGAACCAGAGAGAAAGAGAGAGATAGATCCAATCTCGGAGGGGCTCTCGCCCCTCCCATGCCATGGAGGCCAAGGACCAGAGGGGAAACCCTTCTCCCATCTAGGGAGGAGGTCAAGGAAGAAGAGGAAGAAGGGGGCCCCTCTCCCCCTCTCCTCCGGTGGCGCCGGAACGCCGTTGTGGCCATCATCATCATCACCGCGATCTTCACCAACATCTCCATCACCTTCCCCCCTCTATCTACAGCGGTCCACTCTCCTGCAACCCGTTGTACCCTCTACTTGAACATGGTGCTTTATGCTTTATAATATTATCCAATGATGTGTTGCCATCCTATGATGTCTGAGTAGATTTTCGTTGTCTATCGGTGGTTGATGAATTGCTATGATTGATTTAATTTGCTTGTGGTTATATTGTTGTCCTTTGGTGTCCATAATATGAGCGCGCACGTGGATCACACCATAGGGTTAATTGTATGTTGATAGGACTATGTATTGGAGGGCAAGAGTGACAGAAGCTTCAACCTAGCATAGAAATTGATGCATACGGGATTGAAGGGGGACCAATATATCTTAATGCTATGGTTGGGTTTTACCTTAATGAACATTAGTAGTTGAGGATGTTTGGTAATAGTTACAATCATAAGTGCATAGAATTCCAAGTAAGGGATGCCATGCTAGCAGTGGCCTCTCCCACATAATACTTGCTATCGGTCTAGTAAAGTAGTCAATTTCTTAGGGGCAATTTCGCAACTCCTACCACCACTTTTCCACACTCGCTATATTTACTTTATTGTTTCTTTATCTAAACAACCCCTACTTTTTATTTACGTACTCTTTATTATCTTGCAAACCTATCCAACAACACCTACAAAGTACTTCTAGTTTCATACTTGTTCTAGGTAAAGCGAACGTCAAGCGTGCGTAGAGTTGTATTGGTGGTCAATAGAACTTGAGGGAATATTCGTTCTACCTTTAGCTCCTTGTTGGGTTCGACACTCTTACTTATCGAAAACTGTTGTGATCCCCTATACTTGTGGGTTATCACGCATCCATTGCCGCAGTCGGTAGTAGGCGGGAGGCGACAAGCTCACCGGAGACGAGCTCGCGGCGGCGGTCGGAGCACTGGCATGTCGACGACGGTGCTAGGGGGAGCGGGAGAAGTAGCGGGCGCATGGAGTGGGTGCGGGCGGAGGTGTTGAGCACGACGGGGCGGTTGGCTGCCAGCTCCGTGAGTCGTGGCCACGGCAGCGAGGACCACCACGGCGACGAGCTCGGGCACGACGGGAGGGGAGCAGATACGGCCATGGCAGAGGCTGAGAATAGAGGGGGAAGGAGCGGGGGGCTCACCAGCCCTGTAGTTGTGCGGTCGCGGCTCGGGGAGGGCTCGTGGTGGCCGGAGACGGTGACGGTGTGCGGTGGTGCAGAGAAGGAAGAAGACGTTGTTGCGGGCTCTCCGGTGATGCCCGGCCCGTTTGGGTGGTCGGGGATGACGAGGCAGACGACGGTCATGCTCCCGGGCACGACGATAGGGCACGAGGCGGCTGGTGGCCACAGTGGAGCAGCAACACGGCGGCGACGGCGCCCGGGTGAAAGGGGATCTAAGGAGTGGGAAGACAGAGGAGAGCGGGGGAGTGGGTGCAGGTAGGTGGGGAGAGGAGGCCTGAGGCGTCGGCCTCGCCCTTATCCTGTCTGGGCATCGCCGGCGAGGAGGTGCGGTGGCGCCTGGACGCGCCCCTTCCCCATGGTCGGAGGAACAGGAAGGGGAGCGACCGAGGAGGGGGTACTGGGCCGCTCTAGCTGGGCCAGCTGACTCGGCTGGGCCGAGGCCCAGGGGGTAGGGGGCTTTCTCTCTCTCTCTCTCTGCTTTTCCTTTTATTTTACTATTTTTTAAACTTCTCTGCTTTCTTTTATTCCCAAAAAGCAAAATAGTTTATAATTTATAAAACTTACACCTAAATTGTATAACAATTTAGGACATTGAACAACAAGTTTGGAACCAAAATAAATTAGTTTAGCATTTTTTTAACTCAAAAGCATTTAATTTAATTGCTTTAGCCACTATTTAAATTAGTTTAGGGCACTTAGACATTTTGCAAAAATGTTTGAGAAACTTTGAATTTCACTTAACATTTGAGTTTGAATTTGACTGGAATTTGAAATGAGATATTGATCAAATTGACTAAGCACTGCTTTAGCAGAATGATTTGCTTGATCTTAGGAATTACTGTAGCATCATTACACCGGGGTGTTACATTTTCCTACTGTTATTTATGATGTTTTTAATCAATACAATACTTTGTGGTGCAATTCTAATGCTTTTTCTCTCTCTTAATTTGCAAGATCTATATGAAGAGGGAGACTGCCGACAGCTGGAATTCTAGATCTGAAAAATCTATGTCAGAGATACCTATTCTGCACAACTCCAAATGAGCTGAAATTTTATGGAGAATTATTCTAAAATATATAAAAATACTAGAAGAAAGAAATACCACACGGGGGCCCACCAGGTGCCCACAAGGCACCAGGGTGCACCCTGGTGGCTTTTGGGGCTCCTGGCCATCCTCCATGGCCCATCTTCTGGTATATAATCCCATTTGCCCTAGAAAACATAAGAGGAGGACTTTCGGGATGAAGCGCCATGGTCTCGAGACAGAACCTGGGCAGGAGCACTTTTGCTCTCTGGTGGAGCGATTCCGCGAGGGAAACTTTGCTACGGGAGGGGGAGATCAGAGCCATCGACATCACCAATAACCCTATCATCGTGGGAGGATCAATCTTCATCAACATCTTTAACATCATCATCTCATCTCAAATCCTAGTTCATCTCTTGTATTCAATCTTCGTCTCAAAATCTTAGATTGGTACCGGTGGGTTGCTAGTAGTGTTGATTACATCTTGTAGTTGATGCTAGTTGATTTATTTTATGAAATATTAAATGTCCAGATCCTTGATGCTATTCAATACCTTGCTGAAAACTGCTTGTCATTTCCTTCTGCTCCTCATTGGGATCAACACTCTTACTTATCGAAAGGACTACGATTGATCCCCTATACTTGCGGATTATCACCCAGCCTGGCCCACCCCGGCCCTACAAAATCGCACCCTAGACCAAACTCTAGCTCCTTCTACTCAACTTCTCGAGCTATCCTCTCTGCTTTGGACCGAGGTTCATCTCCACTGTCCCGTGCCAACATGTCTGGCACTAGAAGTGAATCTAGGTCTGAGGTAGATCCCATTGACAGGGATAAGCTAGAGGTGGATTCGAGCTCCACGCCCTTCCCGATGGCCCGACGGGGCTCCTCAAACTCCACGACCGCCTAGGTGGCTCGACGGGGTGAGTGCAACCTCACTCATCGAGGTTCGTGTTGTCACAAGTGGCCCTACTGGGCCCTTGCAACTCCTGATCATCACAACGGGCAAACTCACAAACGACGCTACTTGATAGGGCCATGTCCACCAATCCCACGACGGCTCCTCGAGTTCGAGGCATGGGTAGCTCATCACGCCAGGCAAGCGGCTCGGGACATGTCCAGTGCTACTTCTTGAGCTTGTGTTGGTTTTCCCTTGAAGAGGAAAGGGTGATGCAGCAAAGTAGAGATAAGTATTTCCCTCAGTTTGAGAACCAAGGTATCAATCCAGTAGGAGACAACGCACAAATCACCTAATACCTGCACAAACAATCAAACAACGTGCCCCCAACACGATAAAGGGGTTTTCAATCCCTTCACGGTTACTTGCAAAAGTGAGATCTGATAGAGATAGATAAACGGTAAAGTAAATATTTTTGGTTTATAGATCTGAAAGTAAACGATTGAAAAATAGTAGATCGGAAACTTATATGATGGAAAATAGAAACGTATATGATGGGAAATAGACCTGGGGGCCATAGGTTTCACTAGAGGCTTCTCTCATGATAGCAAATAATACAGTGGGTGAACAAATTACTGCCGAGCAATTGATAGACAAGCGCAAAGTTATGACGATATCTAAGGCAATGATCATGAATATAGGCATCACGTCTATGTCAAGTAGACCGAAACAATTCTACATCTACTACTATTACTCCACATATCGACCGACTCCTACCTGCATCTAGAGTATTAAGTTCATGAAGAACAGAGTAACGCATTAAGTAAGATGACATGATGTAGAGGAATTAACTCAAGCAATATGATGAAAACCCCATCTTTTTATCCTCGATGGAAACAATACAATACGTGCCTTGCTGCCCCTACTGTCACTGGGAAAGGACACCATAAGATTGAACCCAAAGCTAAGCACTTCTCCCCTTGCAAGAAAAAACCAATCTAATTGGCCAAACTAAACCGATAGTTCGAAGAGAATTACAAAGATATCAAATCATGCATAAAAGAATTCATAGAAGATTCAAATAATATTCATAGATAAGCTGATCATAAATCCACAATTCATTGGATCTCGACAAACACACCGCAAAAGAAGATTACATCGGATAGATCTTCAAGAACATCGAGGAGAACATGGTATTGAGAATTAAAGAGAGAGAAGAAGCCATCTAGCTACTAGCTATGGACCCGTAGGTCTGAGGTAAACAACTCACGCTTCATCGGAAGGGAATTAGAGTTGATGTAGAAGCCCTCTGTGATCGAATACCCCTCCGGCAGGATGCCGAAAAAGGCCCCTAGATGGGATCTCATGGGTACACAAGGTTGCGGCAGTGGAAAAGTGTTTTCGTGGATGCTTCTGGTGGTTTGATAATATATGTGAATATTTGGGTGAAAGAATTAGGCCAGGAGGGTCACGAGGGGCCCACAAGGGTGGGGGCGTCTGACTTGATCTCCAAGTCTCTAGTGTGTCTTCTAGTCCAAGAAAAATCATCGCGAAGGTCTCATTCCGTTTGGATTCCGTTTGGTATTCCTTTTCTGCGAATCTCAAAAACAAGGAAAAAAACAAAAACTGGCACTGGGCTCTAGGTTAATAGGTTAGTCCCAATGCATATAAAACATCCAAAACAGATAATATAATAGCATGGAACAATCAAAAATTATAGATACGTTGGAGACGTATCATCCAGCCGCTCCAAGTGGGCCACCGTGCCCTTCAAGTCCGACGAGGAGTGACTGGTCTGTGGCGTCTTGGGTCGTTCATTGACCAGTGCGATGCACGACGACCGCCCACCGCTCCAATAATTCCATGCATTGTAGGAGGCATCAGAGCATTAGAACTGCTCAAAGTTGAGCAATCAGCCATCGTCGCCAAAGCTCGCTTCCTTACCTTGGAGCAGGCCATGCCGCCCGATGTCTCATTGGGCCCCCCTTCTCTTCCGACTCCTCCATCTCTGCCACCGACTTCGATGCCCCCTAGACGACGACTCCTATGTTGTCTTTGCAATGTACTACCGTCGCTCAGGAAATGAAAAAATGACAAGGGAAAGGGTAAGGGCAAGGCAAAGAGGTGAAGATCTTTCCCCATTTTTCTAGTAAAATGCTTAGTACTATCCAATATTAGTATGATCGTAGTTCTAGGAACTGCTATGTCGGGTTGTCCTCTGGTTATGTATGACCTGCCATATATCGTATGTGCGATGTGATGATCAATGTATGTGTTGATTGGCGTTGCATGTATTTGTATGTACTTGGGGGTTGTCAAATGTGTGTGTGTTGAGCGCGGGAGGGGGGAGGTTGCGCAACCTGACATGCTCAGACGTGTTTGTGGATATAAGGGAGGCAAAATAACCCAATACGTTTGTAGATGCTCATGCCACCTTATTTATTAACTATTAATTTTTGTGTGCACTATATTTTACTATATCATGGTATGACACTAGAATCTTTGCTCATATCTTTAATTATAGTTTGATACCAGTTTATAAATGGTAGTGCATGATACTCTTGTAAGACCCCTCGTAGTGGGGAGTATCATAAATTAGTACCATACATATAATACTAGTATGCCACTAACTCCTCAATGCATAGTATCATAGACTAATATCATATTGACACTTCATTTATTCATTTATAGAATCTCCATACAAAGTTGTGGCTATGATTTATTTTTAATTATTTTTCCTTGTTTGACATGCTATGAATTGTATATGATGATATGATACTAGGGCTCTCTCTCTCTCACACACACACATCATTAAATACAGTGCCAAATTATATTTCTATTTGATTTAGGTGACAGTGGATGATACTCTTAGGCTGCCCGTAGTGAGTAGTATCATAACTTTTTTTGAACTTCGGCGACAATATTTCATTCATAATCATATCCTTTACAATAAGCGGAATCAAGAAATCCAGAGGTTTATCAAGCCACACCCTTGACTCCTGACCCAAGAAACTAAAATGAGCAATAGTATGAGCGCACTCGTTTACATCACGCACACAATGATTTATTGTCGCCTTGCCGAAAGAACTCATCAACCTTCGACAATCGTCAGTAATTACCGCACCTGACGCCCGGTAGTCATCCGGATTCTGGATAGATTGAACAATCTCCATAGAATCGCTCTCAATGGACAAAGAAAAAATGCCCATCTCCTCATCAAGTCGTAGTCCCAATAATAGCGCAAACGCCTCCATCGTTGGAGCGTCCATTGCATTCGGTTTATATTCCATGGCCGCTGCAACAAAACCTTCCTTCGAATCTCGTAAAATAGCACCACTTGCCTCTACACCTGAGTCAACATGATATGAAGCATCAACATTAAGCTTTATACAGCCTGATGCTGGTCTAGACCATCTAGTGGAGGAACTAGCTTCTGTCGTGGAGGAACTAGCTTCTTTTCTGCTACCCAGTTAGCAATGATACCCCTAATCTGTAGAGACGATCGTGCTGGCGTACCAATCTCTTTATCATGGGACACTTGACGTCGTTCCCACCAGATATACCAACACGCAACCATAGCCTATTCCACTTCATTTTCTCCCTGGAACGAGACACCACCAGGTAAGTTGGAGCATATTATCTCATCAAGTATCAATGAACCAGACCTATGTTTCATGCATATGATGTTGTCTCCGTAATGCATAGTGTATCATATACTAGTATCATAGGTGACCTTTTATTATCATACATGATATATAGTAGCATAACATTTATTATGATACGGTATCATGATATGATACTAAATCATATCTTTCTTTATTTAATTCTATGCCACATTGGTGGCTTATCTTGCCATGTGAGGGTATGCTAGAAAATTATGGATGGTTCCATCAACTTAAGCCAAAGAGTTATTTTATGCACTGTATGTCTTATAATAGCACATTCTGGTGTAGGGGGACCCAACAGAATGATTGGCATTTGTAGCGTTGACTTAATTACTCCTGATGTTTCGAGGAAATGACATCCATAGGTTGAGATATGATGTTTCTGTTTTACTACGTTACTCTTGAGGTGCATGGATTTGTGGTACAAAAGTGCGGGGGCACTTAGATCCATAGTGCGGTCCTTTTATTTTGCCTTCCGATTTTCAACGTCCTATATCTTTTAAACAAAAATTTCAAATTAAGTTCTGTTTTCATATTCGTGTTTCTCGTGAACAACGCTTTAAAATAAGATCAATTTTGAATATATTTTGATGACTTAAAAACATGTTAAGTTTCGGTGTTGAAACTTAGTACGAGCGACCGATAAAACTTAATTATTTTGTGTGTACGACCGACAGAAAAAAATTGCTTAAGATTATATCTCCGAAACTTATTGAAACTTGGCATTTTTAGATGCAAAAATTGTAAGTTTCACTTTTAAAACCTAAAAAGCTTTTTGACGGCTTTTCTTTTTTACTTTGCCGCCGTGCGGGATTCAACTATTTTGCGAATCGTGAGGCAAATCGAGCGGGCGGCAGGCCTTGGCAAGTGAGTGCCCCTGTGAATTTCCATGCTGATTTCATTAATAGTATTTGCTAGAGTTAATCCGAGGTACGTGTTCAATCCACCGAAGAACAAGCAATCACAACACGATGATGAAGGACCAAGTTCTCGTGTTGACACAAAAGGCAGATCATCTGAAGGATAGAACATCCCTCGTTTGTGCACATCCGGCGGAAGGCTTTGGCAAGGCAATTAGCCAACATTGAATTTTTGAGCCAAGGGAGCCATCATGTGAACACCAAAAAAAATTTGGTTGGAATTGCTAGTAGCACGTGAAGGTTTCGTTAGTGTACTTGGGGCATCGCGTGGAAATCTCAGATAAATTTTCACAAGGTTAGCCGTTCAAAGAACCATGGTGTCATCACGTACCAGGTTTGAGGTGGAGAAGTTCGACGAGACCGGAAACCTTGGGTTATAGCAGACAAGGGTGACATTTTTTGGCGCAAGAAGGATGCTTGAACACGTGGCAAATGCCTAAGGGCTTGTGTGGCTTCAACAAGACTATGGCGCGGGGTTGATCCAAGGTGGTGTACACACAGAGTTTGAAGTCGATGGGGCGTGAGGGTGGACTGATCATCTACAACGAGGTCATGTTGAAGGTGGAGCCGAGGTCTGATGGAAGACTTCACTTGGCTGATTAAGAGGCTACAATGAAAGTCAACAGAGAGTCAAAGCCTATTTCAGTGGGAAAAGCATGAGACATGTGGTTCGGACTGGAGCTCAGTGGTTTAATGGAAACGTGAGACTCGTCATCAGTCGGCGATGACCAGTGGTATTCTGTAGTGATGGTTGAATGGTGTGGGTCCGCGGCCCATGAGACTTGACCGGGACAATAGAGACTGGATGCGGTAATAGTGGGGTGTGCGATATGCATGGGACATGGAGACGAGCCAGGGCTCTGGTGGTCATACATGTGGTGAGACAGTTGTGAATTTGAATCGGGGTGACTACAAGCAACGACGATTTTTTTTCAAGTTTCAGATAGGCGGTCATGGAAGAGCGAGGATGTTGAGTTCAGCTAACTCTTACGTGTGACACCTGATAAGTGAGTTTATCACTTTCACACAGATCGGTGATCAGGGCGTGATGGCATTGAACGAATACTCCAGAAGTTGGGAGCACGAAGTAGAGTAAAGAGGAACTTAATTTTGCTCGAATGTTGACCGTGATCAAGAAAAGAAGGGACTACATTTGCGAGTGGAGTCACATGGAGCTTGGGAGTAGCAGTGGTTCTCATGGATAAACTCAAGTCCAATGTATGTGGAACTTTGACGCATGGACAAATTCAAGGTGGTGGAGAATATTCGTCAAAGTAGAGTTTGTTGGAATTGTGTCGAATATAATGTACAAGGTATGTTACAGTTGAACTCTGAGTTGTATATTGTTTAGACAGAATATGAAGTCGTGTCGTAATAGGACACTTGTATCATAGGCCTCTTATATAGTAAAATGATAGAAACACGATGTAATCTATGCCAACATAATAGCACATACACGCAAGGGAAGCTGGCGGCATGTGCCAGCGCCCAGGTGGCCGTTGTATGGCACTGTGTGGGGATGAGTGACCATAGTCAGGCCCCGAGATGTAATCAAGTTTGGTGAACCTCGTTAACAAATCTCGATGTTATTCCTCTTGCAGACATTATATTTCTTTGGAAGGCCCAGTGTTCCGTTAAGAAACCGATGGACTTCCTTCCACAAAGATAAACCAAGGGATAAAGCTACGGTGGTCCACCATCAAAGAGACGAGGGTAGTGCCCCAGAAATCAGAGGCCTGATGAGAAATCTGAAACTGGACCTTATGTATAAACATTATGAAAAAGAATTATATATATACATACACCATATTTGTACACGGTTCAAATAATTACATCTCTTCAGAAAGCAAAGTCTGAACTTTGAACTACTACCTTATTTAACTGTATAATATATATCATAATGGCAATACAATTCAAATAATTACAAGGTATTCAAATGGTTCTTCATAATCAACCTTCTTAAAGCATCATCTGTTATTACTATCCAAGCCAATCCACTAGTTCTTTCTTGTGTCATTAACTCATTGTAGAACACAAATATGACTTTCACAATTTATGTTTACAGAAACAATTGTGCTGAGTCTCACAGGAATAGTCAGCAAAAATCTATCTGCATTAATAGGGACATTCAGAAAAGATACGTTGACAATAATTTAAGTATCAACATGGCCCACATTTTTCTTTGGAATAATATCGTGGAGTAACTTTAAATCTACACATGAGTGCAGATTTACTGCCCTAGGAGTAGCCCTCCCACTTGCATCTGTCGCCCGCACCATCCTAGAGATCTGTGTGATCATATAGGTTTCCACCAGCATTGATGTCACAAGGTACAATTAACATTGGTAATTAGCCTACTTTGTAGGAAACACATGCCAAGATGTCTCGACACAATGCAAGTTATGTTGAACCTATTATTCCCTTCTTTCCGGTTTATTAGACTTATCTCATTTTCTTACCTTTTCCATATTATAAATCTTATTTTCACTTCTTTCCACCACATGTTCATATTTCAAGGTGCATTAAATTAATGCAGGCAAGGATTAAAAGAAACCAACCAATGCATGTAACTATTCTTACTCATTTAGTGGTCATTCATGCATACATTGTAATTAATGTAGATTAAAGTTTGAGTAATTTTATAAACTACGAGATACATTCCTCCACTCACCATTCATCTTGGTTGATGAGATTTCAGATTTAAGCCCTATAAACCAGAAAGGAGGAAGTAGTATCCAGCCAAACATTAAATGGGCAACAATGATAAGTTGAAGATGGAATATGAGAATACAAAGAATGCATTGTGTATCCATAGTTTGGTCTCTTTTCAGCAAGATCAAACTATGCAACAAATTTTTATGACAATATAATGCAAACTATGGATTTTTAGGACAGTATAACGCATGTCCACTTGATAATTTGAGGTTGCATTGTACTGTCATAAAAATCTACCTGCGTTACTGTATTGTTATTCAAGTTATTTGCTAAACACCGTCGATGATGAGCATCATCAGCTGGACTCATAGTAAACCTTTCCTTCGACTGAATTTGGTGGGATGATGTTTGAGGAATATTAGCAACAATCACAAGAGGCGGCACAGTGGGTTCATCATCTATATCATGTGGAATGTCTGAAAGGAAAGAAGCCGACACATCTTTAACAGCACGAGAACGCCACCTCGCCTTCAACAATATCATGTAGAGGGCCATGATTTTTCAACAAAGAATCACCAAAATCAGGAGTAATTAGCATGAGGTTTTAGCTATCCTCATGTCCACTGCGAGCACCGGAGTACTCATCAATGGACTCCCGGGGCCACCGATCTACCACTGCAAGGGACTCCGTCAGGGCGACCCCGTGTCCCCATGCTCTTCGTGATCATCATCGACGTTCTAAACTGCCTCTTCTAGTGGGCCACATCCTTGGGGCTCATTCACCGTCTTACGGAGCACCACATGTCCTCTAGCCTCTCTCTCTCTCTCTCTCTCTCTCTCTCTCTCTCTCTCTACGCAGATGATGTCGTGCTATTCTGCCACCCCAACGAGCGCGATCTCTCTGCCATGCGCTACATCCTCCGGCTGTTCAGCACCGCCTCAGGCCTCCACACCAACCTCGCAAAGTGCACGACACTACCTATCCAGTGATCACCCGAGCCCCGGGACTCCCTCTCCAGCCACTTCCCGTGCCTGATCGGCGAGTTCCCCATCAAGTACCTTGGCCTCCCGCTATCCATCCGCAAGATCACCGCCTTGTCCTTACAGCCCTTCGTCGAGAAGCTGGAAAAGAAGCTCTCCCCGTGGTGGGCGTCCATGCTTTCCCGCAATGAGCATTTGGCCCTCGTTCGGCACGTCTTCTACGTGATGCCCACCCACATTCTGATTGTCATGTCGCTGCACACCTCCATCTTGCAGCAGGTGAACCGCCTCATTCGTGCTTTCCTCTGGCAAGGTCGAAAAACAACCAACGGAGGCCACTGCCTCGTCGGCTAGGCCAAACTCTACCGGCCACTGGCCTATGGCGGCCTCGGCGTCCCAGACCTACAGCGCTCCGCCCACGCCCTGCAGGCCCAGTGGCTATGGCTTCACAAGACTAACCACACCCGCCCGTGCCGACACATCCATATCCCCAGCAGCCCGGCCGTCCAGGCCATCTTCCGGGCCTCCACCACCTGGACGATCGGCGATGACAGCTCTTGCCTTTTCTGGGAGGACCATTGGATCGACAAGACCTCCATCGCCGAGCTGGCTCTTCTCGTCCATGCCCTCGTGCCCCGCCGACACCGCAAGACGCGCACCGTGGCCATGGCTTGGCCTGCCGTGCCTGGATTCAGGATGTGCATGGCCATCTGGACCCAGCGGCACTTGTGCAGTACGTCCACCTCCGGGCGCGGCTCCAACAGATCACACTCTCCGGCGCCCCGGACACCCTCACCTGGCGTTGGACGTCGAACGACGTGTACTCCGCCAAGTCGTGCTACAAGGCCCTATTTGTCGGTTCCATGATCGAGCCCTCCTGGAGACTTACGTGGAAATCTTGGGCACCCCTCATCAAGATCTTCCTTTGGCTTGCCTTCCAAGGACGGTGCTGGACTGTCAACCGGCTTGCCCGCCGCGGCCTTGCTCATGCCCCGATGTGCCTACTCTGTGACCAGGAGCCCGAGACCATGGCGCACCTTCTCGCTGGTTGCGTCTTCTCTAGGCAGACATGGCATGAGGTCCTATCCTGGTACCAGATCACAGACATGCCACTCCCCACCCCCGGGTTGGACTTTCGTGACTGGTTCTCCCAGTCCGTGCAGGACGCGCCGACATCCTTGCAACGCGGTCTAGCTTCGCTCATCATTCTTACCGCCTGGTGCCTTTGGAAGGCGCGAAACGCCTGCTTCGTCAATGATGTGACCCCCTCGATCCCACTCCTCGTCAACGACATCAAGGAAGACGCCCGCAACTGGGCCGCCGCCGGAGCCAAGGGGCTCAGCAACCTGCTCCCGCCCCCATAGTGTCTTGTAGGGGCTTGCGCATCCCCCTCCCCTCCATGTATGCGCCCTTGTAGTTCTCGCTCACGCCCTCTCGCGTACGTGCTTGCGAGGCTTCCCCTGTAATTGCTATTGTTTTCTTTCCCTATCAATGCAATGATACGCAAAGCTTTTGCGTATTCGCGAAAAAAAACTATGCATTTTTTGGGTTCTGGCGTGTCTCTTTCTTACAAACATGCCATCATGCACATATTATGTTTTCCTCTTCTTAACAAAAAGGCAGTGCCCCTGCAGGTTTGTTAAAGAATACCGGAAATAAATTAAATTTCCATTACAAAAAGCTAGAAAGGCCACACACTTATACATTATATGCAAAAGAAATATTTTACATATTCTCAAGGTAAAATGCTTGAGCTACTATGCAATATCAAACATATGAAGGCCGAAAAGAAAGACATCGAGAGGCATACATGTACGCGGGCGTGAATGAGGGATACGTAAAACCGATTTTAATGATAGTTCAATAATAGGCTATGTGTAGGAAGATATTTCTATTTTCGTCGGTCGTGTCTACTTTGTTCTTTCTTGTGTACTTCATAGTTACTTGAACTTAAATAAACTTATGGTCGTGTGCATTGCAATGATGCAGAGGCCAGAAATTATTCTCCTTTTTTTCTAAAGGAAATTGTATGTGGGAGCATGCGTGGTGCATTTATTATTTGTGTAGTTCAAGTACGAATGTGACAGAGCAAAGAGCTGACCATCTATATTCGTTGGAAGGAGATGCAACATCAACTAACTGACACGCAAGGTGGAGGAGAAGAGAGAGTTTTCAAGTCCCACAAGTACTTCTCCAAGCTGTGGCCAGACACCATAGCACTCTATATATAGAGTCCTAGTTCTACAAGACTTTTCTCCCGTAGAGGAGCAGAAAGATCGAGAGGCAGAGCCAACCTACTCAACTCGAGGCCGTGTTGCTGAGGTGAGACACGCATCGCAATGGGGAGCAACGAGGGCGGCGGGTGCGACGGCAAGCCGGTGGTGGTGGTGCCGGAGATCAAGTACACCAAGCTCTTCATCAACGGCGAGTTCGTTGACGCCGCATCAGGTACGTCGTCATGATGAATTAGTTTGTGCAGGCATATACTGGCTATCCTCCAGTTTGGTGGATACCTACGTTGTTTTGGTTTTTACGGGGTGGATACCTACGCGCCAGCTTCCCTTTGTCGTCTTCGCTAACGTATATGTTACTGCGTAGTTGGGAGGAGTCGATAAGATTGAGCCTATTCGTTTGAGTTCTTTTTTTTTAGAGAAAAGGCCAAGGCCCGACTTTATAGATAAAGCCACACGGCAGCGTCACGAATACCCAATGCTCACACGAACATAGAGCCACAGAGAAAGGTAAATAGACCCAAAGTAGTAGCGATACAGGCAGCTGCCAAACACGGCACGCAGGCCGGGAAGAGAAGAAGACCTAATCCCGCAAACTACAGCACCAAGATTATACACCATGATTCGTCCCGGAGATCTGAGAGGCTGAAGCCCGAATTCTGGCGATGAGCAGGTCCAGGGCGTCCCGATCTGGCTCCTTAGTCAATGATCTCCACTGCTGCAAGAATATACATGATTTGAAAAGAACATCAGCAGGCTTAGATAGGAAGGTAAGCTCAATAGTAAATTTGTTTCTAATGGTCCATAGTGCCCAACATAAGGCTCCCAAGCCAACCCAGAATACCCTCCTGGTGACCCCTACCAGAGATTTGGCTAGGGTTCTAATATCTGAGAAAGAGGAGGGATTCCAGGAGACCCGAAGCCAGGATCTGACGCAAGGCCAAACTAATTTGGCGAAAACACAGTTGAAAAAGATGTGTTTAGAGTTTTCCAAAGCCCCACACAAGTTACAGAATTCCGAGCCCGGCCCATTGCGTTTTTTGATCTGATCAGCAGAAGGGAGGCGACCACGGAAGGCTTGCCAGAGGAAAATCTTAATCTTAGGAGGGACCTTAGATTTCCAAACACAAGAGAATCAAGCCGAAGTAGTACCACCAATCAGTCTAGAGTACAGCGATTTAACCGAGAATATACCAGAGGCCGTAAGCGGCCAAACCACCGAGTCGGCCTCCTCCGAGAGCACAGGGAAGAGGGCAGAAAGACTTTGCATTCTTCCAACTCTTCAGGAGACAGGGCCCGACGAAAAGCCAAGTCCCAATTATTAGCAGCCACCTCCGCGATGGAGATTTGCGGATTGGGGCAATAAGAGAACAGAACCGGAAAGCTAACAGCCAGGGGAGCATCCCCAGACCACCAATCTAACCAAAAACGAACAGCGGACCCATTACCCACACAAAACTTAACGTGCTCCAAAAAAATCGGCCGAACTTTAACAAGGGCTTTCCAAAACTGCGAACCGCGCCGCCCGGGGGCAAACATAGGGTTGGAGTTAGGATAATATTTAGCCTTAAGAATCGAAGACCACAGCACATCGGCCCCAACCATCATAATTTTCCACCACCACTTAACGAGCAAATAAATATTCATCACCCGAGTATTAATAATGCCTAACCCCCCAAGATTTTTAGGCTTGCACATCAACTGCCACTTGACCAACCTATACTTTCTTTTGTTATCAACAGAATTCCAATAAAAGCCACCCCTATGTTTGTCGAAGCCAGCATGCACTCCATCCGTGAGACGATAAAAACCCATAAGAAACATCGGGAGAGAGGATAAGCAAGAGTTGATTAGAGCCACTTTGCCAGCATTGTCAGTACGTCCTAAACAAGATAATCCAAATGAGGAGCCAAAATCCACACGTCAGTTATCTGTGAAATATCGTGGTGTGGATAAGCATACATGCTCACCCAGCTCTATGAAATGTCTTCTTTTTCTGTTCCTTAGAAAATTCTGGTATGCATAATCTATATGACTCGGTGTCGTGTGCTTACCTTAAGTTTCATGCACATATTTGAATTCTTGTAAATCTGCAAAAAAAAGGTATAGCTAGGATACAAAGTAGGCTTTAATTCATTTTATTTTTTGCTTGTGAAAGTACCTTTTTTTTTTGCGAGATGCTTGTGAAAGTACCTGCTTGCTCGCTCAATGGATCGAACCAACTTGTCTCTCTACCCTAAAAAAGAAACTTATCTCTGCCACATTCACGAGATTCGACGGCATCATCCCATAATATATGGAATTATTGCCGCAAGGTCTTCTATCCCTTTGATATTTAATTGCCGCCACTGGATGTTTATATATGGTAGCCACCGCCTACGCGTCGACGGTTTATTTTTCCACAGAGTATTACCGGTCGACGTTGGCAAGACGTTTGTTTTCCTGCTGGTGGATTTCATTTTGGGAGGCGATGGTGCTCATGTGATTTATGGGTGGATTTCATTTTTCAGGCAAGACGTTTGAGACGAGGGACCCGCGGACAGGCGACGTGCTGGCCCACATCGCAGAGGCGGACAAAGCCGACGTGGACCTCGCCGTCGAGGCCGCCAGGGAGGCCTTCGAGCATGGCAAGTGGCCCCGCATGTCAGGCTACGTACGTAATCCAATCCGGCACTCCCTGTTGCTGTAGCTCATCCGACAAATTGACCTGCTGACAAGGTCGCTCGTCGCCGGCATGCATGCATCCATGCAGGAGAGGAGCAGGGCCATGAACAAGCTGGCCGACCTGATGGAGCAGCACATCGAGGAGCTGGCGGCGCTGGACGGCGCCGACGCCGGCAAGCTGCTCCTGTTGGGCAAGATCATCGACATCCCTTCCGCGGTGCAGATGCTGCGCTATTACGCCGGCGCCGCCGACAAGATCCACGGCGAGTCGCTGCGTGTGTCCGGCAAGTACCAGGGGTACACCCTCAAGGAGCCCATCGGGGTCGTCGGCATCATCATCCCGTGGAACTTCCCCAGCCTCATGTTCTTCCTCAAGATCAGCCCGGCGCTCGCCGCCGGATGCACCGTCGTCGTCAAGCCCGCCGAGCAGACGCCCCTCTCGGCCCTCTACTATGCTCACCTTGCAAAGCTGGTAATGAATCTCTGTGCAAGCTAACGCTCTTTCAACACTCTCCATGTGATGATGTGAACTGTCCTCACGTGCATGCATACATGTTTAGGCTGGCATTCCGGACGGAGTGATCAATGTCGTCCCTGGCTTCGGCCCGACGGCCGGCGCCGCCATCGCCTCCCACATGGACGTTGACAGCGTGAGCACAAATCACCATTATTAGTACCTGTGCTGTGCTATGCATTTCTGTCTTACTTGTCCTAAATCCTAATGAAAGATACCACCACCACATCGACCAGGTTGCCTTCACTGGCTCTGGTGAAGTAGGCCGCCTCATCATGGAGGCATCTGCCCGGAGCAACCTGAAGACGGTATCGCTTGAGCTCGGTGGCAAGTCGCCTCTGATAATCTTCGACGACGCTGATGTCGACATGGCGGTCGAGCTCTCAAGGCTTGCCATCTTCTTCAACAAGGTAATAGTAGATGGCATTCTCCTCACAGAGGATAGAATTACCAAGAGTAAACAGTTCCACGTAGCAAAAGACAGACACTGACCACATATAGTGCTATCTGAATCTGGACTTCCAGGGAGAGGTTTGCGTCGCGGGGTCCCGTGTTTATGTTCAGGAAGGGATCTACGACGAGTTTGTGAAGAGGGCTGTGGTGGCTGCCCAGAACTGGAAAGTCGGAGACCCGTTTGATGTCGCCACCAACATGGGTCCCCAGGTAAATTGTGCCTTCATTTTCCATCAGCCATTGTCAACTGGAAAGTGGAAACTAGTCGTGCTCATGGCCGGAAAGAAAGTGGCAAATATAGTTATTTCAACCGTTACTTTGCTTGAATCTAGGTTGATAAGGAGCAATTTGAGAGGGTCCTAAGGTACATTGAGCATGGCAAGAGCGAGGGAGCGACACTTCTCACCGGCGGCAAACCTGCCAGCGACAAAGGATACTACATTGAGCCTACCATATTTGCAGATGTCAAGGTAATTTCAACTTGTAGATGCACAAGAGATGAGGTGTACACATCATATTACTGAAGCGGGGAGGGAATCGTACATCGCCTGCATTCAGATGGATTGACAGTTTGACACTAACGCATGCTCACGTGGCTTCTATAGGAGGACATGAAGATCGCTCAAGATGAGATCTTTGGCCCCGTGATGTCCCTCATGAAGTTCAAGTACGCTAAAGTTTTCACAATGTCATCTGACGAAATTTCACTTGGTTCTTGAATTATCAACTGCTAGTCCCTGACTAAGTGCCTTTTTGCCCGGCTGTGTCTGCAGGACGGTCGATGAGGCGATAGAGAAGGCCAACTGCACCAAGTACGGGCTGGCCGCCGGCATAATCACCAAGAATTTGGACATCGCCAACAGGGTGTCGAGATCGGTGCGCGCGGGGACCGTGTGGGTCAACTGCTACTTCGCCTTCGACCCCGAGGCGCCCTTCGGCGGGTACAAGATGAGCGGGTTCGGCCGGGACCAGGGGATGATGGCCATCGACAAGTACATGCAGGTCAAGAGCGTCATCACCGCAGTCCCTGACTCGCCTTGGTATTAGCAGAATAGCCAAGACAATGCAAGTTCTTAATTCTCTGCAGTACTGTACATGCTTGTTGAGTTGGCTGGTGCTTGTGAAGCAGTCCTTTGTTTGCGTTGCCTGGGTGCCAAGTTGTTGGTGTGTGTGATATAGGAAAAAGTCCAAAACAAACCTTGAACTTGTAGACCAAAGCTAAATCAAACCCTGAACTTCAAATCCCTGAAATTAGCACACCGAACTATCTAATCCCGGTCTATTTTAAATCTTAAGTGCCTTCCCAAACAGGAATCGTCCGGAACCCGGGATGGTTGGCTGCGGTCAGACTGGGCCGGCCCATCAGGCAGGGCAAAGCATGTTTTTTTTTGCAACATTTTTTCCAAACCGTGCCACATAAAAACGTTGAAAAAGAAGAGAATTGTGAATTGAACTTCCGACCTAACGCTAGTACAGTTCTCCTGCTAGCCACTCTAACTGATTGCCGTTGCTGAGACAAGAAAAGCGTGAAAATATTTAAACCAATGCAGCGTGGAGATTTGGAAACATTTTCTACAATTGTTTGAACCATTTTCTTGAAAATTTTCAACAATTTTGGAATCCGAATATTCTTGAAATAAAAAACCAATTTTTTAAATACAATTTTTCTAAAAAAATTGAACATTTTTTGGATTACGAGCAGTTCTAGAAAGACATGACTTTTCTAAACATGAACCATTTTTTAAAAGCCCCGAACATTCTTTAAAGTGTGAACCCTTTTTGGCAAAAAAAAGAACAAATTGTTGAAAACACAAACAATTTTGAAACCTGGAAAAAATACGATTCCTTCCCCATTATTAAGTTTTTTAGAAAATGTTCACATTCTAAAATATTATTCAGGATTCAAAATTTGTTCCTATTTTTAAAAAATATGATTATGTTTAAAAAAAATCATGTTTTCCAAAATTGTTCTCAATTCAAAAAAATCAGGTTTAAAAATTGTTACTGATTTGAAAAAAATCACGTTTAAATGGTTCATGCATAAATATATTCAGGTATTTCAAAATGGTCACATTTGAAAATGTGTTTGTGTTTTAAAAAAAATCATAATTCCAAAATTTGTTTACACTTTTGCGAAACATGTTCGGAATTTAAAAAAACTGTATTTTGCTTTTAAGAATATCCGGATTTCAAAATCGTTGATTATTTTAAAGAAAATGTTTTCAAAAAGTCTTAAATGTTTTCGAATCTCGATGCTAATTACTCCTGTTAAATATGTTCGCTCCTTTCACTTGTCACTAACGGTAATTAGGTGGAGTGGTTACGTCGTGAGTTCAGCACCGCCGGATCTCAGGTTCGGTTCCCCACTTGTATTTTTCTTTTTGGTATTTTTCAGTCAAAAGAACAACATGTTTCACGTTTGGTGGGCCGGTCCAGTCGCCAGCGATCCCGGTTCGACCAGCTGCCACGTCGACAATCCCTCCGAAAAAACGCACAAGGTTTAATATAGACCGGGATTATATAGTTCGGTGTGCTGATTTTAAGGATTTAAAGTTTGGGGTTTGATTTAGCTTTGATCTACAAGTTCAAGGTTTATTTTGGACTTTTTCCTGTGATATATGGTGCAAGTGATTCGCTTCTGACCTTTGTGTCACGCATTCCAGAAGAAAATGGCGTAACATTTTTTTAGGTAAGAAACTATATTTATTATGATGCAAGGGCGTCTCCAATACAGATCCTAAAAAAGACACCATGAATGCCCGCAGACGGGATAGGGAAGGGAGTTATCCAATGCTATCCCATATTTATCCGGTTTCATCCTTCTAAGCATGTGCATGTCATGGTTGAGGGGAGAAAGAGGATGTTTGGATGCGAATGTCCTACGTGGTGGCTTTAGGTTAGTTGTGGTCTTGGCAGAATAGGGCAGACGACCCAGCCTGGACAACCCGCTGTTGTGACTTGAGCGCATGGGTTGCGGGTGCTCGATATGATCTTTGGGGGACTTGAAATGTTAAATCTGTTGTGATTGTATTTTCTCTTTTCCTCTGATTAAACATGCATTTTTCACTGTTGGAACTCACTCAGTTCAGCATCTCATGGCAAATGTGGATTCATTGCGTCTGGAAACGAATGATGGCTGGCTGTTGTGCTATGCAAACTGAAGCCAAAGAAAGGACGGCAACAACAAACCACGAGAAAGTCCACCCGCAAAAAAAGAGAGAAAGTCCATTTATTCAGAGCAGAGTTGAAGCGGTCACTGTGAAGTGGCAACATATACAAGTTTAAAAATCTGTAAGCTGACATTCTTTTTAGTTCCTTCTCTCATTAATGTATTTTTTGTCTATCAAAACACAAAGTGGGCCATTCCACCAAATACAGAAGGACAATGAGAGCACTTTTGGCTATACTACTAGATTGAGGTTCGTCCTATACGTTCGTTCACCGCGGTACCATGGAATGTGATGCAGCGATATGCATACACATTGTGGTTAGTTGAAACCGGGTGCTAACATGAGAGCTGAGAGTTAGCAATTGCCACAAACACATTCGCTTTTATTTATTTTCACAAAAAAGAAGGAAGAAGAATACGTAATACAAAATTACAAATAGTACCGCAACCTCAAAACTGATGTGAGATTATATGGAACAACTATAAGACTGCTCTGCTTCTCGCTTTAATTATTCAGCAAGACTACTTCGTGACTGTTGTGAGATTATATGAGACAACTTAAAGTTGCTTAAGACTGCTTCAATACTACTGCAACTATTGAGTCTGGTGATGACCGACACCAGTTGTGTTGCCTGTAAATCTCTCACCAATGAAAAAGCTTGAATACAAGGAAACTACTGGAGGGCAGACGACCTCGGCGATGCTCCATTGCAACATCATCACAACACAGCCCGGCGTGACGGTGCTTCGTCGCTGCAGCGCCAACGACCCCTGGCGATGCTCCATTGAAACCTCGTCGCAGCACGACCCGGTGTGACGGTGCTCCGTTGCAGCTCCATTGCAGCGCCGACGACCCCCGGCGATGCTCCATTGAAACCTCATCGCAGCACGCACGACGCGAGGGTGCTCCGTCGCAGGTCCATAGCAACACCAAAACGGACCCCCGACGAGGCTCCACCGCGCTCCAGCGCAGCACCACACGGCCTGGCGTGCTCCGTCGCAGCACCCCGCCGGCCATCAAAACTTCATCGCAACGCTGGTGCTGCAGGCTAGCAGCAGTCGAGCCCCTGCCCTGCAGAGGGCACGCCCGCGTGCTGGCAGGAGCGTGCAGTCAGCTCGGGCGAGTAGCGACAGGGGCCTCCTCCTGCAACATCGTTGTTGCTGAGCGGCCGGGCGGTGAGAGCTTGCAGCAAGGAGCGGCCGGGCATCGCTGCGTTCCTAAGTTGCTGCCTTGATGAGGTAGGCAACCATGGATTCAGCGGTTGGGTGGATAGGAAGACAAAGTCAACGAATAAGGAGACGAGAGGATAACGATTCAGCGGTTGGGAGCGACGGGGTGCATGTTAAGGCGTGGGACACGCGTCGCCAAAGCGAGGCGGTTTACGCCGTGAGAAATTCGGTCGCTTTAAAACTAGACTAGAGTTTTCCAAACAGAAAATAAGCATTGGAGAGGACATGATGCTGTCGACTAGGTTACGGAGCCAGCCTTGGACAGACTCCAGATCAAAGTACATCATGTGACTGCTAATTTGATTCTTTTTTTTTTTGAGGTAAACTGCTAATTTGATTCGATCAACACAGATATAACATATATATTATACGTACTATAGGTCAAGAATCAATCAATCTGTACCAGGACAGGACCAAGAAATTGTAATGTAATGTCGATCTTGCTGAGCGCATGACGTGCACAGCGGAGTCGGAGCAGGGGGAGCACTGGTTCAAGATCTCCGATTACAGCATTCACAGGGGCATGGGCGTCGGCTGCTACATCGAGTCGTCCTGGTTCACCATTGGCGGCCATTACTGGCGCCTTCACTATTACCCGGACGGATATTCGGAAGATGGCAAGGGCGATATGGTGGTCGGTCTGGAGCTGATGGAGCTGTGTGGGAAGGAATTCCCGTCGCGGGTATCCTCCACAATCAGCTTGTTCTACTGGGCAACCAAGCGGTTTTCTCTTTCTTCGTCGGTGGCCATGTCGGCCAATCTTCGCGATCTGAGCCACTTTGTCACGCACAACATAAACAGGGGCAAGATGGAAGCATCAGAATATATTGTTGATGACCGTCTCACTATCAAATGCATCGTGACCATCATCAAGGAGCCATATGTTTTCGAGGCGGAGGCCCAGGTGCCGGTGCCACCGTCGGAAATCACGGACCAACTCGGGAAGCTGCCAGAGGCAAAGGAGGGCGCCGATGTGACATTCGAGGTTCAAGGAGAGGAATTCCCGGCCCACAAGCTCGTGCTGGTGGTGCGGTCTCCGGTTTTCAAGGCCATGCTCTACGGGCCGATGATGGAGAAGGATTCAAGCCGCATCGTCATTGCCAACATGCAACCCGTTGTCTTCAAGTTTCTGCTCTACTTCATTTATAACGATTCGTTGCCTGACGACGACGACGACTTGCTGGATGGAGACGATAAGAAAAAGGTGACCAGACACCTACTCGTGGCTGCGGATCGCTATGGCATGGAAAGATTGAAGCTTATGTGCGAAATCATCCTCTGCAAACACCTCGATGCCGAGTCTGTTGCAACTACATTGGCTTTGGCCAATCAACATACTCGTTCTGGGCTACAAGATGCTTGCATTCGATTTATTGCATCATCATCTACTAAAATGTTAGATGATGTGGTGGCAAGCGGAGGGTACAAATCGTCTCAAAAGAACTTGTTCAGATACCATAATGGAGATGTGGGAAAAAGCAAGTAGGCTCCGCAAAACCTAGCTAGGATTGTTACTTTCTGCTCATCTTAACTAATCATCCTATAAAGAATGGAGTACTTTTTTCCCAATAATTTTCTGTGGCCTTCAACAGCAGTCCCTGTCATATCTTCAATGACCAAACGTGATACTGTTATGTTGGAATAAGCCATTGCGTCGGTCTCGTCGGACGTGTCAGGCTCGTTGGACGCGTCGTGTGCGCGTGGGAGCGGGACGCAGCGCCGTAGGTGTGTGTGTGGCGTGCGTGTGTGCGCATGTGTGCAGTAGCTAGCTAGTTCGATGGTGTGTGGAGCGTGGCTGGAGCGATCTGTTGGGGCAGGCCCGCGTCACCCGTGTTTGAGCGCGTCGCGGACGCGGCCGGGCCAAGCGGATCCTAGTGCACGCAGCGGGAGCGAGATGGGCAGTCGTGCGACGTGCATACGTGCGCCTGCTCTTCAGCCCCGCGTATAAACTCCCTGTACTGCTGCTGGTTCGTTTGTGTGAGCCAGTTTGAGCTGAAGGAACAAAGGCCGTATATACGAGCGGCCGGGCGTTCGTCGTCAAACTCCATGCGTTCTTTTCTTGCTTCGTCTACCTCCGTTAGTGCAACCACAGAGAGCTAGTCTAGGGCTGTTCCAACATGTTAACAATAATAGTCTTAGGAGATAGCTTGAAATGATACGTCAGACGAGAAGATGGTCGTTCGGTGGCTCTGCATATTCAGGCGAGGCTGGGAGGTCTAATGCACTCCTTGCCTTTGCATATTCAGAGAAAACCGGGAGGTCCATTGCAGCGGCATGGTCCTCGACAGTAATGCTCAATGCTTGAGATAGACTTGCAACAAAACTTACAATCATGCATGGACTTGCATACAACATTTTGAACCATTCATCTGATAAGACTTGTTATTCAATATGCTTGGTGATGTCTAACAGACTTCTCCAGTACCCTCTCCTTTTCAGTTTATAGGGCTCAATTCAAAAATCTCATCAACCAAGATAGATGGTGAATGATGGAATACTATTTGTAATTTGCAAAAACACCCAATTAATACTCTTGTTTTTCTCAAAAAAATTATGTTTACCAATGTATTAATTACAATGCATGCATGCATAAAGTACATGCATTGGTCAGTTTTCTCTTAATACTTGCATGTAATGATTTAATGCACCTTGGAATCTGAATTTATGATGGGAACAACCAAATTGAGCCTAATAAAATAGAAAAACTAAGATTTTGAAATAAGCCCTATAAACCGAAAAGGATGAAGTATATGTGAGGGAGGGTCCATGGTAGGGTAGCAAGAGGAAATGCTGTAAATGGCAACATTAATACATGGCATAGTAAAAATTCAAAGTCAAATTTACCAACTTATAATTATATAGGTCGGCACCGTGCTTTAGAGCGTCTGGATGCAACCAATTAATAGCAGCTTAACGGGATCCTCCGTATTGGCCTTGGAGAGAGAATCAAGAAAACATATGCGCTGAAAAAGAAAAACCAAAGATCAAGGCCAGCAAATTATTTCCTTTTTCAACTCTCTGGCAAGAATGGCATAGCAATTAGCAAATTGTATAAAAACCCATGTGTTAATCTACAGGCAACAGGACTCCAAAGAAAAATAACTCTTCTAAGTTTGTGATTGGCAATGGACAAATCTGTCAAAAAGTGCAGAATAGGCAAGAGATATAAGACTATAAACTTAAAAAAAAATATATACTAAACATCACTATTTCAATATTTTGCAGTGAAAGGTTCCAGCCAATGCTGACCACGGTTTTAGAGACTCCATATGCTTCCGACTTGGCCCAACCAAAGAAATTCCTGATATTTGGTCAGGAATATAATCATAGGTACGCTCACCTGTTGATATATATTTCTGAGTTTAAAAGTGTGATGTTTCAGACTCACAGTATTCTTCAAACCACCATATCTATATCTATATCTATATCTATACCAATATAAAAAGATCCAAAAGGGCAGATCCAAATCATCTCAACCGTTAAATCATATTATTTAGTGGTTCAAATCGCTTCAATGTTAAGCACCAAACACGTTTAACGCTCTAATTACCCACCACTGCCATTGGTTATAAACACGTTTTGACTCAACCCTATCCCATGAAATCTGCCATGTAATTAATATCCTACCATTCCCGCATAAAAGTAATTGATATCTTACCAAGCACCAACGTGCAACAGATATATTTTACCTAATATAACGTGCAACTAATATCCTGCCAAATATAAACGTGCGTTGCACGTACATTATTACTAGTGCTAATAAGTGTAACACTTGTTATTGACAAATTAGAAGAGTGATAGGAAGGTGTCCGACGGAAAATACACAGGAGCTCTCGGGTGCTCCGCACCCCTATACGAAAAATATTCGTAAAAAATTCCCACAAAATCAAAAAAATCCAAAATTTCAGGATGTCAAACCTGGTTTCCCAATCTACTTCCGTGTGAAATTTCGTGAAAAAATATCAAAAAATGTATCCGTGGCGAAGGAATTACTGCCCGGAAAAAAATGTACCCAAACTGTGTTTTGCTATATATACGAAATTTTTGTCTTTTTTGCCGTGAATACGTTTCCTGGTATTTTTTCACCAAATTTCAGACGGGAGTAGATCGGGAACCCACGTTTAATATCCCCAAATCCCAGATTTTTTTTCAAATTTCTTGGTATTTTTTCCTGATATTGTACGTATAGGGGTGCGGAGCACCCGAGTGCTCTAAATCCTCGTCCGGTGTCCGACATGCTATAATTGTATGAGTACTAGTGGCTGGGGCGCCACCCGGTGGGTGGCGCCTCTTAGGCGGGATTGTGCGCACTAATCAAGCTGTTGTATTTGTTAAGTGTCTGTATAACAATATGCTTAGTTTAGAGAGAAGACAGGCAGCGCAGATGAGGCAGTATTATTTGGAGCTAACATAACTTTTTCTATTACACGTATCACTATGACACTATGACAATTATCCTCAAAAGGGTTACCAGCCAAAAAGAAACTATGTACTTGACACTTAGAAGAGCTAGTGCATTATGACTAGTGTAATTTCACTGAAATAATAAGCTAACAATATATATTTGGTCGATGGAGATGTCCAGATCATGACCAATATGTTACTGTGCGCACTAATCAAGTTGCCGTAGTTGTTAAAGTGTTGACAGTACAAATAAGAGACATTTTTCATGCTTTGCTCAAATCTTCTCTTGAGGTCCATCTCTCTTTAAGATTTCTTGTGAGCTTTATCAACATACCAATTTCACAAATAATAGCGCTCTTTTAAATCACATTCGTACACCTCTTATCAAAAGACCGAACAAATTATTCATTGCCAAACCAGAAAGTACCATTCATATACATCAGGAAAAGAACATTTATAACTAAAATAGCACCCCACATTAAGATCAGTCAACTGCTATGAATCTAAAAACTCAGGGGGTACATACAATTGATCCAAGCAAAGCACTCACCGTACATGAATTACACACCTCTGGCAGCTTCCTACTTCAATCCTAGTACAGACTACAGCCCCATCAGTGAACCATGGGAGGAAGAGAAAAACAAGCAACAGTCGATCATCTTCAAGACAGGAAGAAACCGGATCATAAACTGGAAGAAAAATTGGGACAGCAGAACCCTCACCTCATAATGGACCTTGTGTTTCTTGTCTCTGATGCAGGTTCTGCAGAATTAGATTGTACAACAAATGAGCAGAATCTATAAGCATTGTCTCTTCAGATTATTTGTAATGGCAGCATAACACTTGGTTCAAGCAAACGATTGGTGTTGCTGCTAGTCCTATTTTTTCAGGAGCAGAGCAAATTGTACAGCAAATAAATCACCCATATATACAAGTATGGAACAAATTATACTAAGCTATGATATAACTCCCAAACATAGTGACATTTCAGGAGCACAGCAAATTGTCCAACAAATAAATCATCCAATACAAGTATGTAATGAATTAGACTAAGTTACTCTATCATACACCTCGTATTTGAACCAGGCATGTGTGTGCAATATATAAATTATTTCTCTCATAAACTTGAAACACGACAAGTTGCCCTTACTCATGACTGGTCAAAACATCAAATAAATGGGTGTAAATTAAGCTACCTCAAGCTCCACACCATGATCTGAAAACCAGTGCATATAACATGACATGCAGTAAGCAACTCAATCATTTTCATGGTTCCTGGTCAAAATGGTACACACATTAATTGCCACTATTTCATTCAGACAATCAACAGAAAACCAAATCACTGACACAAAACAGACAGGTACAACATGTGTTCCTAGCATACAGGCATTACACGACGGCTAGGCCACAATTACAGTGCAGATTATGCAATCAAAAGGCAAGACAGTATGCGCGTACACGTGCCGATGGCTCGAGATGGTGCCCGTTGGCCTGCCGCCGGAGATCTTGACCTACAAACAGCCATTCACACTGACTGGAGGAACACCAAAGCAGCAGATATGCAGCCCAATGGGAATCAAGGTATGGTACCTTCCTTTCACAAGAACTTGCCTTTCTGATATATGACCACCACGTTGATGTCGCATCTCAGGTTCTCCTGCAGTAGAGAAGGATCTTCACAATGCACCACATAAAAATTCAGAAAGAGTAGAACATCAGAAATAGAAATTTTACTAAATGGAAGTTAGAGAGATAAATGACAGTTCATGTGGCAACTTCTTGATTCTCTCCAAATCCCCACTACCGTAATCAACGAATAATCACTAAATCCATCAAAACAAATAGAGGCATTATTGAATAGCACAAAAGCATGTTTCTGCTGTGCTACAAGATTCAGAAAGGTAAAAGATAAATAATATTTGGTATTACCGTCGTTCGTAGTCGTATACCAACAAGAAATGCATCACACAGCCACACAAGATTTACCTGTTCTTTTCCCTTGCTTTGCCTTGTAGTGGAAACAAACCAAACATATGTTGTCAAAGAAACTGTCAACATCGCCACAATGTCTGATGGCCATGT